ATACATCAGTAGATCTAAAAAAGTCAACGACACGTTAACATAGCTATTATATTTAAGTTACAATTACGTTTTTATGACAAAAATAAAATGGAAAGTTAATAGGTACTAAAATATTTCGATCTTCAGGACAGGCTAACCGTTTAATTAGCCATACCGCCAGATCTTAATTTTTTTTTATGCTATCAAGTGAGGGACGAACAAGTCGTACACCTGGTGGTAAGTGAAACGTCTGTAGCAGTTGCAGTGCCATCAAAGCTTTAAATCGCAAAGATCTGACATAAGACACAAGTTGACAAGTCCCATGTGCGTGTAATTTCACCAGCACCCTTACCCTTAAAAATCAGACCGTAGTAATGCTCACATTACTGCTTGGCGGCAGAAATAAGTAACGTGGCAATACTTTCCTGGACGAAGGAGCTCTACAGATACTAAAATTTTTCTTCAATCATTTAATTTTCTAAAAAATGTTAGAAAAGTTGTGTTTCGCGGGAAATCGTAATGTATTGTTCCAAAAATGTAGAAATACGTGTTCACTGTTCGGCCATTTGAAGTCTGAAAATTAATAAGTTATATTTATTTGTATAACTTTACATTCGTAAGACAGATTTCCCTTTGCGTTTGTGGACATGATGGACATAGTCTTCAATGATATATTGAAAATCAACAACACAAATAATCATCCTGAATTTGATTTGTATTGTTCATACCTAAGACAGAGCGGGAAATGAAAAAACGTTGCTTTGATAAATCACACGACTGGGTGAATGAACTCTTTGGGTTTTTTGTTTGTAGTGTTTTTCCTTTCTTTTTTTCTAATGTTTTTTGTTACCACTGTGTTTTTATAGATATAATTCACAGCAGCTCGCCCTTACATTTCTTTCTAAAATTGTTTTCTGTAGTGGTTGGCTAGAGGCCTCTATTGTTCTTAAAAGATTGGATCGTTCAGTGAGAAGGAAGTTAAATATGAACCATTTGACAGCTCTTCGAAATTTAATTCGTAATGGTTTAACTATTAATAATATTGTAGGATTTTATAAATGAAGCTCGGGTGCTAACGAAGTAAGCAAGAGTGAGACCAAAGAAAATGTACATGCAGTTTGTTTAAAACGGAAACATAGTTAACAAGTACAGAAGCGAAAAACAGAGAAGACAATGAGAAATCAAAGAAAAGGGGCAAAAACAAGTACATTTAACTTTAGATTCACAACCTACAATGATAAAAAAAATAAACTGATAAAAAAGACTATACATATAATGATATAAAATACAAAAAAGTTTCGGTTCGCCACATTTGTTATTCTGTACTCAGTGTTGGGTAATTTTCAGGTTATTTTTCTCTATTTTAATTATATATAATTTTGGTGGCAATTTTTTTTATTTAAACATCCAAGTACATCAATAATAAAAATTTAATAATATTATTATAAACTTAATAATATTTCAGGTTAAGTAGTATACTTAAATATTAATTAATACTCATCATGATAATATTCTAGAATATTTAGGTAATTTGGTAGAGAATCTGAAAATTACTCTGTTCTTGTTATTATTATGTATGTAGGTACATTGTTGTGTAATACTAATGTACAACTATCTTTTTAATTAATAAAAGAGCCTATCCACAGAAATGTAATATAGATTTCTGTGAGCATATAAGATAGGAATCCTTCACGAAGGATTTTTTTAATTAGTAATACTTCGCAATGTAGAATTACGGATTTGAGGTTCTTTATTAAACTTGATAACATTATATTTGTCAGCAACATAAATATAATACCTAAACAATTTCTACTTTCCAATCTGTGTTATAGGGATTTTAATTTCACTATCCTCCATCTGTATTTCAAACGCTATTTTGGTTTTGTCCTTTTATACCTCAAAATTAAAACGACAATAACATTCAAAGGAAACGTGTTACAAAACTTCTTAACATTATGTTAATTTTATTGCCCATCATCACCGGTTTATGGATAGTCTCGACCTCAGAATTTCTCCTACACTTGAACTACCTGCGTCACCTTGACTTAATAATTTATTTTCGAATACTACATTTTTTTAAACCGGCTTTACTATAATGTAGGAGAACTTTTAAAAGGCACGTTCACAATGTTTTACTGAGAATTGTACCGAAATTAAGGCATAATTTTTAATGTGCAAATAAATACTACTTTTTATAGTTGATTACTGGAAACAAAATCTATACAGAGCAAAGTAAATATCATATTTAGTCTTGTAGTTTATAACGAAAAGCATATTAAATATCCTAAATACAAATAGTATTATCGACGACATCGGTGTAGCCTAGTCTGTGTAGGGCCAGCGTTTGATTCCCGGTAGTACCAGTTTACGAAACGAACATTTCTAAATATATTCTAACCTAAATGTGGGTGTCGCTTCCGGAGTTAAATAAATATTGATTATGCTATTTTATAATTGTTCTAATGCACTCAAAATGTTTAAACACACAAACGAGTACTTATAAAAGCACGTTGAACTCGACTAAAGCGAGAGATTCATTGCACAAAAACACAACTTACGTTACTCATTCCTAACTTAACATATAAAAGATAATTGACACTGACCACAAAGTCAACAAGACTTTGCTTTACCCCATAACCCTAGGAAATCTTCGGAAAAACCCACAAGAAGACAAATATTGGCCCTCTCATTTTATACCTAAAAAGTTTAGACAAAAAACATTCATGCATATTGATTGTAACCCAGTACACATTTATATCCATTTTGTTGTTATTTTCTTGCAAAGTTTTACAAGTTATATGTCCAAACTGGACCTTTTGTTTATAAACAATGACCTACAATGACCCCTGAAATTTTTAAAATTACATTTGTATAAAAAGGTATTTAGTAGCAGTAGAGCTCTTTGTGAAAGAGTTCGTTCAGGGAAGTACTGCCACCTCATTTATTTCTGCCACCAAGATAAGAGCATTAGTGCATTTCGGTTTCGAAGGGTAAGGGTGCTGATGAAATTACAGGCACTTGGGACTTATCAACTTACGTCACAGGGTGTCGGGCGAAATGACCGCGACGCCCCTCACATCTTTGTGATTTAAAGCACTGAGTGACACTGATACTGTTATGAACAGACGTGTCGCTTATCACCAGACGCACGACTTGTTCGTCCAGTCACTTGGTACAGTCAAAGAGCACATCAAGCTTGACTCTTTGTACTTTGGACCGTTCTTATCGTAAGCTGCATAGAGTAGAATTTAAGTCTTAAGTATAAAGCTTGACGTGCTCTTGACCCTGTACCATAAAAAAAAATATGTCTATTGGTACATGTTCATACGTATTTACCTTTTAATACGTCTTTAGGTAAAGTCCGAAGATACCAAAGCTAACCGTAGGTATTTATGCAAACCATATTATTTATTCAGTTCTTAGTTTTGTCGTTTCATAATAGCTGTATTCTACAGTCATTGATATATGGTCATTGATAAGAATGATGATAATGTATAATATTTGATCGTGATAGTAATAATATGAGGCGATAAACGGAGATAATTAGTACAACCAACTCCGCTAAGTGCGTGACGAACATTAAATTTATTGTAATAGAAGCATAATAATTATGACCTAAGTTAATAATAGACACACACGATTTATTCTCCAATAACGATTATATCTTAGATAATAAAAATATATATTAAGAAAAAAAATGCAAAAATCACTGACTTACAAAATGCAAGAATTACCTTTAGTAATTGCCAATAAACTATTTTAGGGATCTAAATCGGGTACATTTGTTTTTCAAAGAAACCAACGTTTTGGGCCCTGGTCTTGGCCAACTCTCAGTCAAAAAATAGTTTTATATTCCTATGTGCAACAGTCGTGAAAACCTACCAACTCGATATAACAACACAGCATATTTTTTACATAAGTAACTACCAAGAGGAAATTTTAATTCAAATAGTGCAAAATTGTTATAAGTACTTACAAAAAAGTAAGCTTTATAATAAATATCTCTACAAAATGTTAAGCATCGTCAGAAAAGGTTGATACTCCCTATGACTTGAGGTTATTCAACAAATATTGACTTAACTTGCAGTTGATCGTTTCTATATCCGGTTCAATGCCGTCTGAGTATTCGTTTTTTTTATGGGTATGAAGCAAATCTGCAACATATTATCTCCTGCTGCTGCTGTTAAAGTATTTTATTTAAAATTCATTTATTCATTTCAAATGTTAAAAAATTACATTTACAATCTAAAGATTAACTCTAGGCTTCGACAACAAAACACAAAAAACTCAAAAATATTCCTAATCTAATAAAAAATCCCGCCCTGTATCGTGCACTGTTCAAAAGTTTCTATTACACTGGCAGTACACCTCGCTGAACAGCAATGAATTAGATTATTGAAAGGATTCTGTGTTTTTTTAATATTTACTAACACACAACTTTTTTTTATAATATCAAGTGACAGGATGTACAAGTCATGCACATGGTGTTAAGTAACACGCCTGTCCATAACAGTTGCAGTGCCACTCAGAGCTTTAAACCGCAAAGATCTCAGCGCCACTGCCACTGCGCCCGTCACCCTGAGACATAAATTGACAAGTACCACGTGTAATTTCATTAGCACCCTTATAATGGTTGGCGGCAGAAATACATAGGTGTAAGGAACGAACTCTTTCACAAGGAGTGAAACTACTACTACTAAATAAACTTTTTACTGTCTTAAATCTCTCCGACCACAATTAACATTCATAAATAATTGAATAAAAGCATGTTGGAGCTAATTTTTTATGTTCTTTATGGAATACGATATTCGATATATAAACAGACTGTCGTCAATCGTGGTAGTAGGTCACTAACATTTCCAAAATATAGTAGACCTTGAGCAAGATTATCGTATATCGTAGGAGAAAGTCTTTCCCCATTTAAGTAGATAGTTTTGGTATCATCGTTGCATCATTCGGTGTAGTGCATTGGTTTAGAGTCAACTCATATTTTGAGTGTTCTAATTCTGTGAGGTAATAAAATGTTGGTAAGTAATACATTTAAATTCGTTATACCTGTACGTTACATAATTTTACTACATGAATTAAATTAAATTAGTTGCATAGAATTATGAATATTAAAAACAAACAAAATAAACTAAACTTATATAATAATATTTTTATAAAATATAATAATATTTCAGAAAATAAATTTTCAAAAGGGCAACTAGGTGTTGACAATTTTAAAGAACACACCTGTGTATCATAAAAAAAGGCTAAGACATTTATTCTCACTAACAATTATAAATAACTCACTTAAGTTAGGACACAGAAAAACGTTACATTTTTTTTTTTACAAAGCATACAAGGACGTTATAGTTCGTAATCCAAATAAAATCATATCACAATAATTATAATAATTTGTTTATGTCTCCGGTAATGTGTTTACTTTAATATCATTATCTAAAAATAAAAAAATCTTACATGTTGTATTAACGTCAAACTATCATTTCGTAAAATGGATCATACATAAATCTAAACATGAGGTGATTCGGCATGTCAAGACGTAAATTTAACTAACTTTTTTATAAAAAAAAACACCTCAAAAGTTTGTGGAATTATGTCTATTTGCCAAGTTTTATTGAAATCGGTTAACGGAAAGTAGATGAAATTCAATAAATTGGTTTCATCCCTAATTAACGACCCTTAGAGATGGAATTTTTTCTTAAAATTTTAATAATACCGCTACTGAGGTACCCCTCTTCCAACATAAAAAAGTCATCGAACATAACACAAGAAATACAGTCGAACTGTAAACCTCCTCGTTTTTAAAAAGTCTTCTAAAAAATAAAATAAATAGATGTACAGTATTGCAAATTCCTTTTGCTAAATAAATAAATGAACAGCAAATTGTAACTAAAATTTTTACACCCATATTCTTAACTACACAACCATCACAAACCTTGAGTATCCATAGATAAATAACAACGACACTCCATCGTATTTTTAACTCTTTGAAACTTTGAAGTCATTGTGGACCTCATTAATCAGAGTAATCGACCCGGACCACTATATAAATTTATTAACGTCCTATTTATACCAAACAACAAGACAATGATATCATTTTTCAGAAACTGTGTCACGTAAAGTTGCATTATCTTCCATTGGTTCCATCAACATAGTTCCTTTTCTCTAATTTGTGTTTACTGTGTTTGAAGTAACGTGGCTGATATATTACTCTTACTCCTTTCAGATCCTAATAGCCTGGTGGTGTGTCATCTGGATAGCAAATGGTGCAGTGCTTGATCCAGCTCTATATCTTTTACCAAGTCCCCCCATGAACGAAAAATCTGCACCTTGGACACAGAAGAGAGTAGAACGAAATGCTCACGATTTATCTGTGGTTCCCATACAGTACGGTAAATTAACTATCTTAAGCTAATTAAATTTTTATTGAATTGATTTTTACAAATTAGTGGAGTAATTTCACAAAAAATAATTGAATATTTTTTGTGAAATTACTCCACTAATTTGTTATAATGTTGTATTAATAATTACTTAAGCTATTTAGTTTATAAACAGTCAGTCAGATCTTCTTGACCTCTTATTATTGAATAAAAAATCTAACAAAAAAGATTCTACATCATAATTTGGACAAAAACTGTTGTCGTGATTAATCGCAAACACTCGGGTCACCGGCCGGCGGCCGTTACCGAACAAAAACGATTTTAAATCGCTATTAATTATTCCATTTTTCTTTTATTTTTTTTTTGGGTATTCCCATAAAAAACATCTAAATGTCTGTCATAAAATTGGTATGTAATCATGCCAGTTGTTTTATTTTTATAGCTATTTCTTATTTTATAATATTGGAAGAGGTCGTGGGGTACGTCGTCCAAATAACATTAATTATTAATCTCCGTGATGGATGATACTTGTCGTACAAACATTTTGATTAATCCTTGTGTATCCTTTCTAACACCGACACGCGGTCACAATTTTATATTACAATTGAGGCTTTATATGCATACAGGGTTATTTGTAAAATATAAACAACCTTGCAGAACTATATTACTAACATGATAAACAACAGCTTTTGTTCCATGACTTATTAAAACCATAATAAATTTATCAAAAATAAACTTTTAAGTTTTTGTTGTACTAACTGACACTTTTTAGATCTGTCTTTTAACAACGCCTCCCGCGTGCTGTTATACATAAAAATAAATATAGAAATGGGTGCGTTCTTTTGCTACTGCACAGAGCTATCACCGTTTAGAGCGACATCTATTTAAATATTTTTATTTTCGTACGAAAGTATAATCTGGTGAATTATCAAAAGTCATGAAAGTTGGTGTTTATTTTTTTTTATAACATGAATTGAAAGGACGAACAAGTCGTGCGCCTGATGGTAAGCTACACACCTGTTCATAACAGTTTGTGTCATTCAGTGCTTTAGATCACAAAGATCTGAGTGGCACTGCCACTGCGCTCGTCACCCTGAGACATAAGTTGACAAGTCCCATATGCCTGTAATTTCACCAGCACACTTACCAAATCTACTTACCAAACTTAACTTACCAAAACCGGAACACGGATATGCTAACATTACTGCTTGGCTGCAGAAATAGGTAAGGTAGCAGTACTACCTTGAACGAACTCTTTCGCAAGGGACTCTACTGCTACTAATATTATATTATGCTGTTATTTATATACCTAGTCCTGTGAGGTTGTTGGTATTTTACAAATAACCTTCAATACAATAATATCTACTCCACAGTAAACTGTAAAGTTATCATAGTGTAATTAGCTAATTCTTAAACCATTATTTACAGAAAAACTTACCTATGCAGCAATACGCACAACAACGTTGCCATCATTTCAAACCTCATCTTTACCGTCAGTTTCAACAACACAATCTGTTTCGCCACCACCAACTATGACGCGTCTTACACTAAAGCCTCTTACAACAACGACGTTGAGTCCCACAAAAACAACAGAAAACCTAGAATTAATGGACAATGCAGAAACATTCTGGCCACTGTTCCGCACTTCGCTGCCTTACGTCGGTATCCACGTCCCTTTGTCATTCCGCCTAAGTGGTACTTATGGATATGGACAAGACACGGTATTAGGTTCTGCCACGGGCAATACAGGTGTAATAAGCACAAGTTATGTTAGTACACCGAATAAGCACCCCGGCGTTCAAAATTTGTACGAACAAATAGGTTTGTATGGAAAATCAGGGTTGGCAGGTAGTAGTTATGGTTCTTATTCTGGCTACGGTACAAGAATTTACGGCAGCCAAGGTGATTCAGCGTGGAGTGGGTGGGGCAATGGAAAATGGGGACATTATGGGAAGGGATAAGGATTAATAAGCATTTTGAATTTTTATTTACAGGTAGATTTACGTATGAACTTGTTGCGACCTTTATGTTTAGATAGCAAGATCAAGAAGTACCGAACAATATATAGATTTCAAATGTTCTCTACAACTTTTTCAATTACTAAAAGCATTGTACGTAATTGGTTAAGTACATTTTTTATCATATCGTGGTCATCTACTAAGTGACAACAGTTATTATACACAGTGTGGCTTTTTTCACTAGAACAGTATGGGGAAATCTGAAATCATTGGAGATACAAGGAAACTGTCTTGGGAACCATTATGTAGGTATTTTTTGTGAAAAAATATTTTGGCACAGTCAATTTTGGTCAAGCGCGAATTGTCTATAAAACTGAATAATATTCTGTTTTTTTTTAATGCCGATCGACACAGTTTCTTTTAAGGATCATTTCACTCTATGAAAAGAAAAAGCGAGGCAGCAGAACTTGGTCAAATTTAAAAAAATGTTTTTAAACAAAACCAAAACCTACAGATCAATTTACGACAACATGTACAATTAGTGAAAAAGTCATTTTTAAAGCGTTGCCGTGCAAGTATTTCAGCATACGAAAAGCAGCAGGTACTTACTGTAGTCTGAAATAAAATTATATCATATGTATTCATTATGTATTCATTAGTTTTATTTCCTTTTATTTTTTTTATTTTTTTTTCTTTTTTTTTATTAGTTTTGCGACTGTCTGTCTCACTATATGAATCTGAAACGCAAATTAAACTAAGACTGAGGTACTGAAAGCTATTTTCATTCAGAAAAGGTAATCTTTTAAGATTGGTCACTACTTAGAAAAACTTATTTTAGTTTTTTTGAGAAGAGAACATAGGTTTTTTCAGAATCTTGACTAGTTGCACTAACCTTTGTAATGAGTTTGTAATTTCTCTGTTAACAATTTGAAGAAAAAAACTGAACGCTTGTGTGTTTTGAAATTTTAGTAATTTTGCCTTTCTTTGGCGTTTTGGTTCAATAACTTTCGAGTTGTGGTTACAAAAATTAAAACAGTTGAATTTGAAAATTGTAAGCGTAGTACCTAAAAATGCTGTAATTTTTCAAATCTTTAACAAACAAGATATGTTACGTCGGATTTATTATGGTATTTTTTCTGGGCCGGGTAGTTGCAAACTGGGCAAAACACCCTGGTTCCGGCTTATAGTTGAGTTTTGGGACAACTGTATAAGTAGATAACTAGCAACATTCACAAATGTACGGTAACTAACTACCTCCGTGGCCGAACGGTTACCATGCCGGACTGCCACGCAGTGGTCCCAGGTTCGATTCCCGGGATATTCGTATGGCCACATTTATTTCTCTCGTGAATTTGGGTGTAATTTGTGGTTGTCTATGTGTGTGTCCATGGCACCCGCGACACAGGGTTTCCCTATTGCGGGGCTATGTTGAGTATGTGCGTTATTAGTATAAAAAAACAGACGAGCAGTCAACCTCTCAATAGAAAAATAACCGTTTTCCCACTAGGCTACCTTCGCTAATGTTTAATTTGATTTATTAAATATACACAAGCTAAACTAATTGAGGTAAACTACGTATACATGATGTATATACAGAGTGTCCCGCGCTATGCCACACGAAGGGAAACTTTAAATATTGAACATAGGATATTTTGCTTCGTGGAGACATTATTTCTTTTTAAAAGTAAGTAATACTGCGTTGCTTGCCTCACCTGGGAATTCAACCGACCAAATGTGAAAAAGAAAATCACCTGTATTTTTATGATGCCGATCGAAAAGGTGAATTATAAGGATTAATTCCTTTTAAGTAATAGTAACTATAATTTTTCTTTAATTTTAACATGATTTTTTAAATTTAAAATTTTAATTAAAATAAATTATAAGTAATACGTTTTACTGTCGATATTCGTACACAACAGTCGAAAAACAGCCGAGTTTCTTAATGATTATTTTCCTTCTTGATTGATACACATGGATCGATTAGACGGCAGGCGCAGATACTATTAGATTTCTTTTTCTGGGGATACGAGAAAGATTTAATAAACAAGAAACAATTTGACTATGCGGAAGAGTTACCAAACAGAATTGTGGCGTATTACTTCTTATATTCATAATAATAAGATATGAAAATTTACGAACGGCGTACTTATTCAAAGATTGAGATTTTGCATATTATCTTATACGGTTTACATTTTGAACATATGATAAATGAATTGCAAATACCGTAGATACATTGATAGTTTCAAGTTCACTTTATTAATAAATTCTATAAATAATTGAACGGTGTTCCTTTAAGACCATGGTCCACTTAGGCAAGATAAAAAAATTTCAATCCACAAACACTAATTAACAACACCTATTTTTTATATTAACTTAACACAAAAATCAAGGAAAAAAGTTATACAAATTTGTAGTGTAGTTTATATAAATAATTTCAAATTTCCAAATGGGATAGCACCCCCTGGACACCATAAACGCCCCCCAATTGCTTCCGAGCCCCTAGGAGTCTTCAGCGCCCGCTGGGGGCGGTAGGAACCACTTTAGGAAACTATGCTTTAAGAGACTACGTTGCTTATCCCTTCGATCAGCATCATAAAAATTCAAATTTTCCCATTTTAAAATATTATTCACATTTCGGCCGCCCTATAACAAAACCTAGTACGTTCTTTTGACAAAATTTTACAGGAAAGCCCAAAAATAGAAATCAAAGTCATCCTTAAACGTTAATATCAAATAGTAAAGTACCAATCAACGAATATATAATATATAAATATTAATGTCCCAAAAATTATCACAATTTACTTATATATTACATATTTTATACCCTAACTTTTAATATTTACGTCTGCACAAACAATTAAGAAAAAATACTGTAGCAGCCAGAATCAATACACAATATAAGCATTTGCTAGGTATTTGGCTTAGTTAGTATCTGCATTAGAAAATATTGAAAAAATTTGATTTTGTTTGACTAATTAAACTAATAAGCCGACTAATATTTTCAATATTGCCATTTCATTGCCAATTCCAAAGTAAGGCACTTTAACTAGCCTACTTTAAAACCAAACAAGTGTCAAATACTTACTGTGTTTCAAATTGGTTACAGTAATTTAAAAGATTTTTGGCTGGTTACGAACCACACTCAGGCTGAGATTTATAAACCAAACTTTGATTTTGACTAAGCAAAAATGACGAGTTAAGTTAGTTTTCGCATCGACAAAACTATTTACTATTAACTATTTTCTCTGATAAACTGTAGCATTTTAAAACAGCTGTGACCACCATTACGCGAGTACGGGTAATGGTGGTCTACTACGGGAGTAGTACACCATTAAAAAAATATTTTTAAAAATATGTCCCTTACTAGGTTTTGCTCTGGAGCAGCCGATTTGGTCGGTTCCATGCAGTCATTACTTACTTTTAAAAATAAAATAATGTTATAAAGTAAAATATCATATCTACAATATTTAAAGTATTTTCCCCGTGTCGCATGGTCTTGGGATACCCTGTATATTAATAAAAATTAGGTACATGAGCATATACAATAAATACGAGAATGTATAATAAATCACAGGTTCAAGGTGCTTTAACATAATAAAAAAACAAGTCAGTAATGATAATAGAGGATAAATCCATGATTTTAATATAAATTTATGATGGAATACAGGAAAATCCGACATCTAATTATCTCTTTAACATGTAGTCATTGAAGATGACGACCTAATGGCAAATAAAAGACCTTAGCACTTTACCACTTCGTTTTAATAATTTTATATTATACACCTACACCCGAACAACCTGTTTCTATAGATACGGGAAAACTTTAAGCCGTGATTATGCTCATTGAAATACACACCTTTTATTACTACCACACTCAAATCGTGAATTAAAAAATACGCTCTACATATGAATAAATTAATGAATTCGTAGCCTTGGTACCTACATACAATAATAAAGCCACATGTGATCATACGTCAAAAGTGCTTTTATCATATGAAAGTCATTAAAATAATACGAACTACATGAAACAAATTACGTATACATATTTGAAACTTCAAAACTCCACTTTTTTTAACCGACTTTAAAAAAGGAAGAACTATGTTTTTGTTCAAATGCATGTTACGCGATAACTCATACATGAACTGATTTTGATGATTCTATTTTTGTTGGGAAATAGGTTACCTCGGCAATGGTCCCATTTACATTTAAAGAAACTAGGGGATGAATCCGGTTTCGCGCACTTTCCGGTAACCGATTTCAATAAAACTTGATAATAGATGTAATTCCACGAACTTTTGAGGTCGATTTTTTAGTACCTACTCTGTACTGAGATTATTTCTCCATGAATTTAAAAAATCAACCTTCAAGCCGATATTCCTGCTCCATCTCACTCTGTACTGAGATTATAAGCATAAAAAAGCTAATTTCTTTGTAGAATCTTTCAACCTCTCTTTACCTATCTACACCAATAGTGCGAATTATTATCAATTAGGTAGATGTTTTACTTTTTTTTACGATACCAAGTGACAGGTCGCCCAATTTGTGGTAAGTGATACGCCTGACAATAACAGTTGCGGTGCCACACAGAGCTTTAAATCACAAAGATTTGAGGGGCATGACCACTGTGCCCATCACCCTGAGACGTAAGTTGACTCACTAGTCAACTAAGCATTACTCCGTTTCGGTTTTGAAAGGTGAGGCTGCTGGTGAAATTACAGGTACATGTCACTACATGTGCCTGTAATTTTACCAGCATCCTTACCTTTCAAAACAAAACCGAAGCGCAGTAATGCTCACATTTGCTTGGCAGCAAAAATAAGTAAGTACTTCCTTAGACTAACTCTTTCACAGAAGCTCTACTGCTACTTAAATCTCTATTTCTATCTACTTCAGTCTGTATGTCTGGCTGTGGCATCGCAGCTCCCAAATGAATGGACTGATCTCTAAGCGTTCCACTATACTCGTCACCCTAATACATAAGTTGACAAGTCCCATGTGCCTGT